ATTTACAGTGTAAAGGTTGACAACAGCTACCAGAGAAAGCTGTACTGCATCTGTGACAGCTGTCATCTTTGAACACACCAGGATTTGAACTGGGAGCATCCAGAGCTAAAAGAATAAGCAATAAGAGCTACAGCCTTGGAGAGTGGGAGATGGGAGAAGAAGAAAAGAGAGCTGAACCCATACCCTCTGTGGCTTAGTACAGAGACACAACTGTAATGCTCACCATTGGGTTACATAGCCATCTCCTGCAGTGAGCTTTTTGCCGTTGCAGAGCTGCCTAATTTATCCGTCTATTCATAATCTTACATTACTGTTCCTTTACTTTTCTTGTAACTCAGTGACTCACTCCTAGAAGCAGGTAAGTAGGAGAAACATCTAGAAAAAATATCATCTTGTCATTGTTCTACAAAATTAAAGTTTAAAGAAAGGGAGGGAATGTACTATAACATGCACACTCATTTTTTCCAATTAAAATTTGTATTAGGATTTGTATTGCATTTAATTGCTGCAATTGTACAGTCACCATAATCTGCAGAGACATAAGAGACCCCAGTGTATTTCCTGACTTGATGGACAGTAATGAGTCTGAAAAGAATAGGTCAAAAACAACAAACAAACAAAACACACACATTGTAAAATAAGCAACTAAATGTTTTCTATATTTACACAATGTTTTGTGTTTACATGAATTTAGACAGAAGATCATCAGAGATTCATTCCAGAGATGCTTATTACAAGCTGAAATGCCGTTTGCCACTTATTTTTCAGTGAAAATAGAATAAAAATATTGCTAAAGTACCTATTCTTCATTTTCTTATTAGCAATTGTTATGAAATTAGAAGGCTCTGCCAGCCTATCTAACTGCACCTGCTATTAGATATTTCCAAGACAATCTAACTACAATTTTGCCTGAGTGCACTGGTTGTTTTTCTCATCGTGTTAACTGTTCATCCAGTTTATAGGCTCTTGGCATTTAAGAGGAATAACACATTTTAGTCAAATAAGGCAGAATGAGGTCCTGGGAACATCAGCTTTAATGGGAGTCCTAACAGACAGAATTTATAACAATGAGAAAAAAAACCTATGTTGTATACAGTGTTGTGGTGGCCATATCAGTCACAGGACAATAGAGAACCAAGGTGGGGGAGGTAATATCTTTTATTGGATCAACTTCTATTGGTAAGAAAGCTTCTCTTCACAAAATAATGTGCAGTGGCAGTATAAAGCTAAAAAGCTAACAATATTGGGAATCATTAGGAAAAGAATAGATAACAAGACAAAATACTTTCATATTGCCTATATATAAAGTCATTGTCTGCCCACATCTTGAATACTGTATGCAGATCTGGTCACCCCATCTAAATATATATATATATATTGGATTTGGAAAAGGTACAGAAAGGGCAACAGAAATGATTGGGGGTAAGGAACAGCATCCATATGAGAAGAGATTGACAAGACTGGGGCTTTTCAGCTTGGAAAAGAAATAAATAAAGAGTAAGGGGATATATTAGAGGTCTAGAAAATCATGAATGATGTGGAAAAATAGAATAAGGAAACTTAATTCATTCTTTCAGTAACATAACACAATAAGCTGACCCAATTACATTTATAGACAATAAACAAAATAGGTGACATGGATGTGTCATTATGATTACCTCTTCTGTTTATTCCTTCTGAAGCACCAGGCATTGGCCACAGTTGGAAGAAAGGGTATAGGGCTGGAAGGACCATTGCTCTGACCCAGAGTAGCCATTCTGGTGCTCTTACATAGAGCTGCAATGTATCTGCACCCTGCAGTAACCCACTAGACCCCCACTCCTCTTCCAGAGCTGAGAGAGCGCCCAGGAGTCCTTTCTGTGTCTTCCTCTCTCCACAGAATTAGTAACAAAATAAGAATATATATTAAAAGTTTAAGGCTAACCAGTGACCCTTAAATGACTTTCGACAAGATGTCACGTATTAAAGATTAGACCCTCTCAGCTCTATTTAATTTTCTTTCTTTTATATAGGAATTAGATACAGTGCTCCTGTCAACTAACTGCTAAGTTGTAGGCCAAAAATGTAGTTTTTCAGTGCCTTAGTATCCTCTGGATAGAGATGATGTGTGTCGGGGGGGGGGGGGAGGGGGTCACCCCCTCCCCATTTGATGGTTAGCTTGTAGTGAGCATGCTCAGCATCACTGCTGCAGCCTCTGTCCATTCCCCTCTCCCCCCCTCCATCATGGCATGCACAGGTAGCCCGCCCTCCCCCCTCAAATCTGAAATGGTGATCCTGCCAGGTTGTTTCAGAAAAAAAAAAGAAGCAAAAATCCATTAAAACTTCATGGGCAGCTTATTTGGCTCAGCTCCACTTCATAACCCAAATGAATGGCTGGGGAGATGAAAAGAGAATGAGATTTCGAGCAGTCAAATTGGATAGGCCTGCTCTGTTGCTACAAGCCCTTGATATGCAGTTTGTAGCCACCCCTCAATCTGAATTGGTCAAGGCACAGCTAAGAGCTAAAAGGAAAGGAAAAAAGAAACTCCACCTGAGTAGCAGAAGAACTGAAGACTCCCAGGGTAAATTAACAACGGACCAATTCATAGGTACTTGGCCAGACTTGCATTGTTGTAGACTGAGGTCAGGAGGCCAAGGACTCTAACAGGCTGTGGAATTTTCCATGGAACTTAAATATTTTCTTGCAGCTGCCCACCAGAAGAGGAAAGAACTGCTAGTATAAAGAAGATGACTATTGGTCACTCTGGGTACATCTACACTACAGCGCTAGTTCGAACTAACTTAGTTCGAATTAGTTAATTCGAACTAAGCTAATTCGAACTAACGCGTCTAGAACTAAAAACTAGTTCGAATTAGCGTTTTGCTAATTCGAACTAGCAAGTCCACATTGAGTGGACCCTGAACAGGGCTTAAGGATGGCCGGAAGCAGTGCCGGCAGGGCATAAAAGGAGGACTTAGAGCATGAAGATGCTGTCTCAAGCTAGCCGAGGGCTGCGCTTAAAGGGTCCCGACCCCCACCCCGGACACACAGTTCTAAGGGGTGCCCCGCTTGCAAAGAAGTTCTGGCTTGGAGTGCCCTGAGTGCCCACACTGGGCACATCACACCACTCGGCCATCAGCCCGGCTGCACTTGCCGCAGGCTGCCATCTGGGGAGAGGGAGTAATTGGGGGGCTGCAGGAGAGCTTCCACCCCCAGAAGCCCGCAGAGCCAGCCCAGTCCTCCCCATCGGGGGCTCGTACCCCATTCCTCCCTCACCTCCTTCCACTTACCCTTCCCTAGCCCCCCTTCTTATTGATGTACAAAATAAAGATAACGTTTCTTCCAACATTGACTCTGTCTTTATTGAAAAAAACTGGGGGAGACTGGGAAAAGGAGGTGGGAGAGGGGAAGAGAAAGGCTGGGAGAGGGGAGGGCAACTAACATGATCAGGGGTTGGGAACAGGTCCCAGATGAAGAAAGGCTACAGAGACTGGGACTGTTCAGCTTAGAAAAGAGGAGACGGAGGGGGGACAGGATAGAGGTCTCTAAAAGCAGGGGTTGGGTGGAGAGGGTGCATTCAGAAAAGTTCTTCCTGAGTTCCCATAAAGAAGGACTAGAGGACACCAAAGGAAAGGAATGGGTAGCAGGCTTGAAACTAGTAAGAGAAAGTTGTTCTTCTTGACAAAGCAAATAGTTAACCTGTGGAACTCCTTGCTGCAGGAGGCTGTGAAGGCTACAACTAGAACAGAGTTGAAAGGGAAGTGAGATCAAGTCATGGAGGTTGGGTCCATGGAGTCCTATTAGCCAGAGGGTAGGAGTGGTGTCCCTGCCCAAAGTTTGTGGAAGGCTGGAGAGGGATGGCACGAGACAAATGGCTTGGTCACTGTCTTCGGTCCATCCCCTCCAGGGTCCATAGGGTTGGCCGCTGTCGGCAGACAGGCTATGGGCTAGATGGACCTTTGGTCTGACCCAGGACGGCCATTGTAAGCTCAGGGCTCAGGGTCGGGGGTCTCAGTGGACCCCCTTGATTTTCATGCACACCTGCTCCTGGGTGGCCAGGCTGGCAGCTCTCCTGCCCTAGACGGCCACTTTCCTGTGCCTAGTGCGGAGATCGTGGACGAGGTCCACGATGTCCTCACTAGCCCAGGAAGGTGCCCTCCTCTTGCGGTCCAGGGCAGTAATTCAAATTACTCTACTGACAAACTATTTTTTTCCCAAAATGAGAAATTACAAGAAAGCCGACTTCTCAAAATGGATAAAGAATAGTTTCTTTGGAGACTATCTTTCATTGTCTGGCTATAGAATGAAGAACTGTAAAAAACAAATCAGTGGAAATTAAATGTTCTGAGACTAAAATTGAGAAGTGTGAATTGTGGAGAATTCCAATCTTGTTATAAAAATGATTGCCTGCCTTCCAGATATGTAGCATGTCAACTAAGAAAAAATGAAGGGAAAAAAAAGCTATTTCCAGTTCTCTAAGCCACTCCGATTCACTTTTAATTACTCTATGTTGTAAGCAGAGCGTTGGTGTAGCGGCTATGAATGTTAGTTCGAACTAACGTCCGTTAGTTCGAACTAACATTGTAGTGTAGACATACCCCCAGTGCTTCTGTGATATTTATAATGGCCAGGGAGCTGACAGCCTCACAGGCCACTGGGCAAAGTGGAGGGGGGCATCTCCATGGTCCCAGAAGAGGAAGGGTCTCAGGAGGAAGGGGTAGGGCTGGGGACAGCCAGCCCTCCATGCTGCACAGAGCATGGAGCATCCAGCCCTCAGAACCACATGGAATGAGCAGCACAGAGTTTCAGCAGCAATTTAAAAGGTCTGGGGCTCTGGCCATTGCCACAGGTGCAATAGCTCTTTTGAGTTGCTGGACACTGGGACAGTTGCTCCCTTTGCCCCACTCATCGGTGGGCTTGGTCAGTAGGAAGCAAAAATAGAATCTGTGACTATTTTTAACATCTCTTTCGTATAGACATACTGAGTAATCTTTTCATGAGGAAACTTGCACTATTACAGGTTCAAAGGGTGCTATTCACATTGAAGATGCTCTATCCATATGAACAAGGATTTCAAAAGTAGCAGGAAAATTCCAAATTGCCTTGCTGGATTAAAACATTCTTCTTTGATGAGGGATGCTGTCGAGTTTGCAATGAGCCATTCAGCAACCATGGAAGAAGTAAGTCTGCAGTAACCTATATGCTAAAAATGAGTTTCTTGGAGAAAAAAGAGGGTTTCACATTTATGGTGCATAATGCTGAGGTCTGCAAGATTTATTATGTTTTATAGCAAAGGGGAAGTTGTTTAAAGATAGATTTCTTAAGTTATTTGTAATGCTCTTTTCCCCAAACAGGTCTTCCAATGCACTGCTGGCCTATCTAGAACAAGATTGTTAAGATAGATGCTGCTTCTATCCCAATCTGGACATGCATTTATGGGAAATACACAGCCATGAGTAATAAAGGCTTTGAAAACGGCCATACTGTCATAAACATACTGGAAGAGTTACAGAAACAGTTTGACAGGTGGATTAGCTCTCTCTTAGCTTTGGCTTTTGTGTTCTCATCTCAGGCAATGGTGCAAATATAGTCTACGCCATAAAAGATAAGGGTCATATGCATATAGAGTACCTGCATTATGGTTGGCACACCGTTTGCAGTTGTTTGTCATGGGCTTCCTGCCTGTTAAAAGTGACACTGAAAATATAAAAGGGGTGGCATGTAGAATCTGAAGCTAGTTTAGGCAGTTTGTCAAAGCTACAAAAATCTTTCACTAAACAACGAGACAACAGCCTTCCCACAACATTATCTGAAGCAGCTGGAGCTACTTTTTCAGTAGAAAGCACTCTACAACAGTAAATACTTTCACATTTTCTAAACAATGTTGGTATAGAATGTATCAGCTGTATTATCTAGGTTTATCTTTGATTTGCTGATATCCTTGTTCCTGTTATTTTAAGACAAGTAGTCAGAGTCTATGATAAATTAATTAGAGGGGCTCAAGCTCAAAGTTCAGCTCCAGATCCAAATATCTTTGCAGTTCAAAGGTATTCAGATTTATGGATTTTGTTCCCCCCAGAGATGGGGATAGTGCTGGATTTCTTTCTTGAACTGAATTTAGCAGAGTGTCCTGGTGCTTATGTAATGCCAACGAATCCAAGTTGTTAGCAGATGGGATTGAAGCTGGGATTTTAGGGGCTAAAGCCATGGGTGTCTACTATATGAGCTAAATGTCCACTGTTCCATAGCTGAGGCTGTAGAGCATACTTCACACTCCCTAGTGATCTTAGAGCCTCTGGATAACACACTTCCCCCAGATGAGGAAATGTGTCCTAGGCTTCAGAGATCTCCCAGCAATTTATCCTGGACGAGCCTCCACTTGGCCTGAAGGCCAATATATACATGAGTTAAGAAGTATAATACAGGTTAAACCTCTTTAGCGCAGTACCCTCAGGACCTGACTGGTTCTGAATGAAAGAATTTTCTAGACAATGGGAGATCAATACTGCATAACAGCATTACCAACCCTTCTACTGCTTACTGGGCTGTTAAAGGATATTTAGGGGTAAATTAGAGCTAAGTAACAGCAAAGAACACTGAGAGGTAGGACTGGTGGCTATAAACAAACTTTATGGGACCAAGAGAAACTTGGCCACACCCATAAAAAGTGGACCTACGGCTTACTAAAATCATTCTGGATGATGGACGCTTCTGGATCAGAGGGTTCTGGATTAGAGAGGTTCAATCTGTATTTAGAGATTCAAGGATGTTTTATTAATGGCAACAAGGATTGTGGGTACTCAGATGAAAGTCCCCCATAATCACGTAGCTTTTTTCCCCTACACGTCTTCCAAGCTGTCAGAGACTTGGGAACAAGTACAGTAGCCCCTCATAGTAACAGAGAGACTGGAAATGGAGGTTGTCCATAACTCTGAAATGCGCATTTCTATGAAAATAGTGCAGCGTTGGCTCCAGTTCCAACAACTGGCACTCCAAGCCAGATTCCAGCAACAGCTGAATGCTCTCCTCAGTGCTGACAGGTTCCTTGCACAGCTTCTTTCCCTGGGTCAGACTGCAACTTTTCCACCCTTCCAGTTGGGAGTGAGGGGGTAGAAAATAGCTTGTTCCCCACTCAACTGAGGGAGGGTTAAAACACCCCATTCAGGAGGGAGATGAAAACAGCCCCCCTCCTCCCCACCTCATCTGATGAGGTGGGGAAGGGTGAAGAAGTGCTAATGCCAGCACTGATATTTCTCTGCCAGCTACCTTGAGCCACTCCTAAGTGAAAGTGGCTGCCCTGTGCATGGGAGTGGGGACAGGCAGCCCAGATGTATCTACCTTTAAGATGCAATATAGGCACAGTACAGAATAGAATATTCCTTTTTTTAATCTCTGCTGTTGCCTGATTGGTTACTTCTGGTTTCACATGGTGTCTGGTTGACTGGTATTCATAGATTTGAGGTTCTCCTGTTATGTTCCACTGTATCTCTGACATATGGGCTGCGTCTAGATTGGCAAGTTTTTCCGCAAAAGCAAGTGCTTTTGCGGAAAAACTTGCCAGCTGTCTACATTGGCCACTTGAATTTCCACAAGAACACTGACGATCTCATGTAAGAAATCAGTGCTTCTTGCGGAAATACTATGCTGCTCCCGTTGGGGCAAAAGTTCTTTTGCGCAAAAGCTTTTGCACAAAAGGGCCAGCGTAGACAGCTCAGATTTGGCGATCAGGGCTTTTTTGCGCAAAAGTGCGTCTAGATTGGCATGGACGCTTTTCTGCAAAAAGTGCTTTTGAGGAAAAGCGTCCATGCCAATCTAGACGCTCTGTTCCAAAAATGCTTTTAATGGTAAACTTTTCCGTTAAAAGCATTTCCAGAAAATCATGCCAATCTAGACATTCCCACAAACCTTTTGCCCACTTGGTCCTTCATAAATATGTTACAACCACTGATTTTGACATTCCAGTCACGTAAATTATCCCAACAGGTTTCAGAATACCAAATAGATCAAGATCAATTTCAAATCCTCCTTCTCCTTACTCAGGCTCTTAGCATTGGTGTATAGGCAATTAAAATGTTTCTTCTCTTCATACCTTTTGGTTTTTTAATTAATTTTGTTCTTAACATCTTAATTTTGTGACAAACAAGTGATAATTTCTTTCCTCTTTTTACTCTCTCCTATTGTTATTAACATTCTCTAGACTACTCTAAACAACCTGTTCTTGAAAGTTTGATTCCACTTCTACTGAGATGGAGGCCATCCAAACTCTGTAGCTCCCTCTCCCCATAGAAGTTGGACCAATATTCCACAAAACCAAAACCCTGTATCCTACACCACTAACCTTGCCAATGATTGGATAGCAGAATCTTCCTTCACTCAAGGAACAGGAGGATGTTGGAGAAGATCACATGGTCATTCTTCCTCTTCAGCCTGAAATCATCTTTGAAACTTTCTGTTATCTGTGAGATATCCCACAATGCAGTGGGTTTAGTGCTGCTATGCACAATAACTTTGCCCGTTGACCATTCAGTCTTAGAGTAAGGTCTCATTTCTTTGACATAGCAGAACATCCTGTGTCGTCCTCTTCCTTGAAGAATAGGCTTTCAATTCTTCTTTAATGTAGTATGCTCAGTGAAGATCTTTGGTTGTCTGGAGAACTTTCTGTGGGCAAGCTTGCTTTTCTTACAGGTTAGGCCAAGTATCATATAAAGGTCTGTTCTGAACATCTCTCTTTTCCCGTTGACTCATGGATCTTCAGAAAGAACTTCCACAATTTCTGTACTGAGGACTTGGTATTGATTAGAAACTTTTAGTTGTGTGGTATATCTTCTTGTGCTCTTCCCCCAGCCATCCTCATCTGCCTTCAGATGTGTACAATGCCACCTCATCCTCTTATGGGTGGCAGTAATGAACTGGTAAGCCTCCTCAGTGACTTACTCTAAGTTTTGTTCATGGTTGGTCAGTTTATTTCTTACATAAATCTGGGATAGTGTTTTTTCCCAAACTTGTTTGTCTAGGAATTCCTCAGCTTTTCTGTAGCCTCTCTACTTACCCTTCTTCTACAAAAAAAATATTTTCTTCTAAAACAGCAACCAATTTATGCTTCATATACAGGAAGTCTTTTCTGGTTTAAAGCATGAATGAAGACACGGCATACCCATTGCAGGGCACCACAACTTTTCTATTGCTAGTCATCATTGTATCAAGCATGGCGCTGGGCCTAGAAAGGAAGTCTCTCACATACCCTCGCTAAGCTCTGAAAAGTCAACCACTCAGAGACTTCAAACAACAGGGCTGATCAAAGATTTAAGGATCGGAGACATGTAGCCCTTGCTAAGATATCAAGAAACAGAACCTCTCTGGGCTGCTGACTAGATGAAGTGATGAGTTGTTTGAAGGACTGTGAAACCTGCAGAAGTTTTTACCCCTAGCCACCTAGTCCAAAGCTGACTAATGTTGGTAGAAACCAAAATTTGATACCATATTAAGATTGCTCCACAGTTTATGTATAATGGGTTGGTGGTCTCTGCTTACCTCCTAATGGATCAATATCTACATCACAAAAGCTACCAGAGATTTTGCACAAGGGTTGAATTGGCCTGAAGAGTGGACTACATTCTTTCCTACAGAGGTGATTCCTTCTGAACAGGGCTGGGTCACACCCTGCATTGAGACTGTCTAGTGTGTGCCTACTCTGGTCCAGATTGCGAACTCCAATAGCACAGAAGTCACTCACACAAAACAGACTTTTGTTTTGTATAGCATAAAATAGATTTGCCATGGTTTGAAAAGAGAAAACTGCATTTCTACCAGGGCCAACCATGTATCGTTAGGAAGAACCTCTTTCAATCACATCCTCTGAAATGTCAGAGTCTATGTGATTCTTGGCTATTGCATGGGTAAGCCAATTGTAAATTAATCTTATGGGATAAATGTCAAGTTTTATTATTCTGATGTAAATGTTTAGGAACGTTTCCATCATTTTGTGTGTGCAGGGGTGGGAAAAATAGGATGCACAATTCCTATTAATAAAGGCAGTTACATGCCTAATTTCATGTGCACTGCACTGAAAAATTACTTCTTCATATCTAAAGCATGTTCCTAGTTTTTTTTAAAAAAGGAATCAAGATTGGGAAAACAGAAAGTCAACTTAGCTGCTGGAATATGTTACAAACAAATATTAAAATAAACTCAATGTTTAAAAAGATAAAGGATAAAGATGTCTGCAGTATATATACTGTACTTACAGCGAATTTACTAGCAGGTGCATATAATCAATCTGCTTTTTTAGATACATCTACACTAGAGACTGTAGACATGTCCATTATCCATGTGCGACACTGCACTATAACCCTTCTAATGTCCACATCTAAATGCCAGAAACATGTCTAAAGGTACGTGGAGGGTGAGTAAACTGGCACAGATAAAAGGTGTGAGAAGTATTTGCCTTGTTTGGGGCACTGCTCCGTGTCCATGCCAGTC